AGTCTGGGCGACGGAGTGAGACTCCAACTCAAAAAAATTTTAAAAATTTAAAAAATAAATGGAAGAAGCAGGAAGCCCGGGAGAATCCTGGTGGCTTGTGCACAGACTCTAATTTTGTGCAAGTGAAGCGGATTTGCACATTATTTGCATAACAAAAACTAATTTAGAAAACAAAGCGGCATCAAGGAAGTCACCCCCCCAAGGGAGCTCACATTCTAGGGCTCTAAATTGGTCTACTGTTCCTGGCTTCATAACGTGACGATTTCCAAATGGGTCTTGGAAGTGAAAACAAAAAGAAGCGAACATGAAATATGATGCCTCGGGCCGTGGTTTCACTGAGAGCTGGATATCAGAGAATTTCGTGTTCCTAAAAAAAACAGATCTGTAACTTGGGGGCAAGAAGGATCTGGTTTTACAAAGATTTATGAAGGATCAGAGTCAAATGATATATTATGTGTTGCTTGTCTGTGTGTGTGCGTGCGGTTTGCATGAACTGGACTGAACAGAATCACAGTTGGCAGTGAAGACAGCTTTGTGTGTGTGTGTTTTTCTAGAAGTATCCCTGCAGCAAGGCGTTTTTCTTTTCTTTTTTTTTTTTGAGTTGGAGTCTCACTCTGTCACCCAGACTAGAGTGCAGTGGATGCTCCCGGCCACCGCAGCCTCGACCTGCTGGGCTCTGGCGATCCTTCCGCCTCAGCCTTCCAAGTAGCTGGAACTACAGGCGGGCGCTACCACGCCCGGCTATTTTTGATTTATAGTGGAGATAGGTCTCACCAAGTTGCCCAGGCGGGTCTCGAACCCCGGGCTCAGGCAATCCACTTACCTCGGCCTCCCAAAGTGCTGGGATTAAAGACTAGCCACCGAGCCCGGCCAAGGCGTTTTCCTTGATGCCAAGAAGCTCCAAAGGGCTTTCAAAGTCAACTTCAAAACTCTTGGTTTCTTCTTGATGTTCAGGAAAACCCCTGAAATCTTTGGGTGGGGTGGGAGGGCTGTTTCGATCCTGGCTCTCACTGCTGGGCTCAGGTGATCCTCTCAACTCAGCCTTCTGAGAAGCTGGGACTACAGGTACGGCCACCACACCAGGCTAATTTTTGTATTTTTTGGAGACACAGGGCCTCACTTTACGGTCCAGGCTGGTCTTGAACTCCTGGGCTCAAGTGATCCTCCCACCCAGCCTCCCAAAGTGTTGGGATGACAGGTGTGAGCCACCGCATCCGGCTCGACCTAGATTGTCCGTAAGTGAGCAGAGACTCAGGGAGGTGTTGGGAGGGCACTGAGCTGATTAAGCAGTAGAGTGACAGCTGGAGTCTGGGGGCCATCAAGATTCCAGGGCAAGTTCCTCTTCCTCGGCTCTGGCCTGCAGCTTAGAAAAACAGGCTTTTTGAGATTGAATTTGCAGACCATTTAATGCATCCACGTGGAGTGTGCAGCTCCATTGTTTTCAGTTTTGGGGTTTTTTTTTTTTTTTTTGAGTCAGAATC